CTTTTGGAAGATATTGTCAAGTTTGCTGAAAAATAAGCTATCTTCTTCTACTGATAAAGAAAAGAAAATGAAGAAAACAAAAACCAGAAAACCCTAACAATTAATGTGTAGTCAATGATCAGAAGTTCTAAGGCATTATTTGGAAGAGTTTTTTTGTGAATGGTTGTCAATACTCCAAATCATCAAAAAAAAAAAAGTTCTTTTTTCTTCAAAGTGGTACTAAAAATTTTTAGGGTCTGGTTATTTCTGGTACTTTAAGACCATTTAAAGTCAGGCAATCTTATAAAGGACTTTAAAAGGGGTGTATATTTACATTGTTGGAATCATGTAAAGTGATAATAGTATAAAATACAATCAGGTTCTTTGAGATTATATTTCGGTGTTTCTAAATATCTACTTTCAGAGTCTCCTTGCATCTGCCAAAGACTGAGATACCTTATTCAAAATCAAGAGTCACAGTAAAGTTTAAATTTTGAAGTTATGATTCTTTTCTAATTTGACTTCTATACTGTTTCTCTCAGCATTGTCAAGCATGCATTTGTTCTGTAAGAATTGCAAGATTACTGATCAGTAATCATGAAGTTCCTATATCTGGAAGCTATAGCTGTTTCATAGGAAATCTGAAAGGTCAGTCTGCCTAAAGGGAGCATTAATGTTACTGAGGACTACAGGGAGAAACTAGCACAGCAGCTAGAAAGGTCTCTGCAGCTGGTGAAGCCTGCTGACAAAGAGCCCCTTGGGGAGCATGATACAGTGTCTTTATCTAGCCAAAGTCAGCACTTTCTGCCCAAAGGGAAAGCCAGCACTGCACTAGGAAAGGAACAAGTCTGAAGCTTGACCACAGGGACCCTGCAGAGTCAGTGAAAACTTTGAGGAACCAGAGACACCAGCAGAGGAATCCTGAATCCTGAGGGCTGGAGTAAGAGCCAGGACCAGGGCTGGCCACCGAGTGAGGAGCCATAGCCAAAACCCAACAAAGAAAATATCAAAGAGCATCCTAAGGAAAAGGAAAACAAAAAGGAACTGGGGATGGGGAATCAGACAGAAAAAAGGAAACCTTTTAATTAAGGTCTTTAGCTGCAAGACATGGTCTAACCTTAGATACATTAATTCTTTTAAAGGTTGAACTGTACTACAAACCTGGTACTTTCATGATTTATTTTTCTGTCATAGAAAATAAATAAATCAAAGTCATAAATTTTCTGAAGCACAATACAAGCTGCATAGATGAACACAATCATAAACACATAATAGCTACAACATGTTACCACACAATTTGAGGAAGAAATATCTGTAAAAACAGGATTAAAAGTATCTATAAAGGACATCCAGCTGACAGAGATTCATTAAAAATCATAATTACATATGTCTTCATCAAGAGGAAACCGCAGGAGAAAGAAGGATACAATGGGAAAATTATTACATTTTAAAAGCATCTCCTTTATAGAAGAGCGGGGTAAAAAGTGCTGTCTTAATACAGCTTTGCCTTCAATAAATATAGATGTTTTCACTGAAACCAATGGAAACATCCACTGTGTTCCCTCTGATTCATTGGCAAGCAAAGGCACTATCTAATTTGCAATATGATGATTTGGAGTATTTACAACCATTCACAAAGATGACTTGGTTTTAGCATATTTTGTCTAGTGAGAGGAGGCAACATCTTTGCCACAGCAGATCATCATGTGGCATAACTACCATTGACATGTGCTAAGTAAGCTTAGTGAATATACAAACAGCCGGAAAATAACTGTACCACCCCTATTACAACTTCCTTCATTGTTGTTATCGTACCAGCACCTGCAGACACCAATGGAGACCAGCATCCAGCATCTCAAGCCCTGACAAACTTTAAGAAATAAAGCCCAGTCATCCCTTCAGAAATCTTCCAGGCTTTAGATAAAGATCATGGAATCATGGAATCATTAGGTTGGAAGAGACTTCTAAGATCATCAAGTCCAACCGTCAACCCAATGCCACCATGCCCACTAAACCATGTCCTGAAGCACTACATCAAGATGCTGTCCTAGGTTACAGTGCAAGATGTGCCCAAAAAAAAGTATTCTATTACCATCTTCAGGAGCTGTTGAGAGCAGTTGGGGCGGTGCTCCCTGCCTCCCCCCTCTGGACTATCTCCTGTTAATGGGCACAACAATGCCTTATTGCATGACCCATAGATAACTCCCTCCTGGACTATGTCCTGTTAATGGCCCATCAAGGAACAGCCTCACGACTCCCCATCCCATTGTGAGATGCTCCGACTTAGAAGATGTCCGCCGGGGGGGGGGGGGGGGGAAGGAGGCAAGCAGTCCATGCTAAATAAAAACTGAGATCTCGAACACCTTAGAAGCCTTCTTCCACTGGATTCCCAGAGGAATTTTCCCCCCACTGGAGTTCCAGAGGACAAGAGCTACCTACCTACCACTGGACCTTCGGAGGAAGACCAGACCCTTTTACAAGATCGCTGCTTCAACAGAACTACACCCATCACTTCAGGAGGACTGCAGCCAGCATCTTATCGGACTGCTACTGCCACCCTAACAGGGTGTCAGGTTGTATTTCTGACTCTGTCAGTGTAAACCAGTGGGTTGTTTTTTTTCCTGCCTTGTGTTATATATATATATCAGTAAAGAACTGTTATTCCTCTTTGCCATATCTTTGCCTGAAGGCCCCTTAATTTCAAAATTATAATAATTAGGAGGGAAGGGGGTTGCATTTTCCATTTCAAGGGAGGCTCCTGCCTTCCTCAGCAGACACCTGTCTTTCAAACCAAGACAGATGCATAAGTCGAGAAAGAAGAGTGAAAGGTAAGGAGAGAAACATCTCCTTCCTGAATCAATCCGTTTGCACCATGCACAGGGGGAGAGCCCTGTGTGCCTGCTCACACCCTGGTCCATGTGAGCAGCAAGCGCGCCGCAGAACAGGGGGCAGTGGGACAAGAGCGGGGCCCTGGCACGAGGCTTGGAGCGGAAACACACACTGCAGAGCAGTGTGCCAGCTGGATCGCATCCCCACAACTCCACACGCTAGACAGAGCTTGCTTACAAATTTGAACAACCAGTTGTATCCAGCAGGTGAGTTCATGGAGGTGAAAAAAAGAGATGAAAAAAGAGACAAGGAACATCCTAACATATCCATTCTTAATGAGAGTTAACAAGGGGTGTCCTTAGATAAATCCTTTCCTGTTAGCTTTGTGGTCAATGTGGTTAGCATGATGTGGTTTCAGTAGTCTGAATAGCAGCCTATCTAATCATATTCCAGAGAACTCCCTGGAGTACAAAAACATCAGGCAGAAATAATGGGAATGAAAAGCTACAGGCTTAATGAAAAATTTAGCAGTCTAGCCGGGGATAGAAAAAGGCAGGTTGGAATGGAATTAAAATTGAAGCAAATTCTAAAGTAGCTTTTAGCTATTTCTATGTAACTGCCATGTTAGTACTAACTTTTGTGCAAAATGTGTGTATCAGGTTTTCAGCTCACTTAATAAACACTAACTTTTCAGAAAACTGTAGCAATGTAGGAATATATGCCGTAATAGCTATGATAAGGGTCTAACCTTAGTGTTTTTCAGAAGTTGCTATTTAGTATTAATCTTGAAACTTGGTTAACCATTTTTTTCCTTTCGTGCCTTTCAACAGACAGATGTCATGTTAGTGGAGGGATATAACACTGACAAACAGTCTGCTCATACAGTTTCTGTCAGTAGGGTTTTTTCTATTTGGGCAGAAGAATGAAATAAATGAGTCCTTGGCAAGGAGTTATAGATACTAAATGGTAGAAATGGTAACGTGGTTAAACAGCTGTAGCGGAAAATGGGGAGCTATCATATGTGTTACTGTGGGTAGCACTCAGATAATTATTGCAAAGTAGTCTCAACAGGAGAATAATTTGTAAATGTTTACTATACTGTCTATTACTCTTCTTCAAGAAGCTCTCACATGGAAAACCAGAGATGTTTGAAACCTGCTTTTTGTGATTTGATTAAAGTCACCACACAAATTCCCTTTGATGAATCTAGTAATAAATTCACACCATTGCCATTCCCATCAGCCCTTAGAAAAACAACGCTTGATACTACACATGTGCAGAGCTACCCAAATAGCTAACATACCTCAAGTAAACCCTGTAAATACTGCACAGCTACCAAGGAAATAGTTTAACATCTTTTTGCTTTTCTCATGTCTATAGCTCTCCTCGCATGGAGCCAGCTTCTGACAGAAAGAAGTGACCTGGACCCAATAACTTCTCAAGTTACAGCTGTGGCTTGACACTTAGTTGTCATACAAATATTGCATGTTATATTCTCTGAATCTTATCAGGATGGCGATTTTCAAAACAAATATAATACCATACACAGAGGCTTAACTACCATAAAATTTCCAGACCATATTAAGACAGGAATTACAAACATCTTCTAAGAATGGGTAAGTTGTTTCTTTTGTTTCTTCTATTAAGTAGTAAGGGACTATACTAACCCTAGTTGACAATATAGAAAAACTTCAAATTCTCCCTTTATATTCAAGAAATATTTTTATTGCAGTAGTTCATCATCCCCTAGTCTCAGCTAAGTCAGAAATGGTGAGAGAGTCCAAAATTATCTTTTACTAAATATATTTCCATCCCCTTATACTATTTGAAATACCTGGGCAATATATATATATACAAATTATTTTGTCTGACACCCTCTTTTGAAGGATGAGTTACTATTTCCCTGCCTAACTTAATAATCAGGCTGAGGAATATTAGATATATAATGATTCTAAAACATCATTTAAAGGAGCAGGTAAAAACACAACACAACCTACTTTAAAATACAAATAATTTGGTTCAGGTTATTGTGCTATCTTTTACTGTCTTCTCAAGAATAGAATGCAAGAGCTTTCTTCTGCCAACTGACAGAGAATAAATCATCAACTTTTTTTAAGTGTTTTGAAATAATATAATATAATATTCAAATGAGTATTCTCAAATGTTAGTATCATAATCAAAGTAGTACTTACATTTAGATGAAGTTGGTTAGTCCACTGACCAATTACTTTGTATTCTGTAGTCTTGTTGGTGATTTGATACTGAAAAATATCATAGCGTCCAGGAGCATCTCCATTTTCATTGAAGATAACAGGTGTACCAGCACTCCCTGAAAAAAAAATTAAAAAGCAATTAGGAAAAACACCTTTAGAGCCATTTTCCAGAAAATATATTTTGGAGGAAAAATAATAATTAGAGATTAAGCAGGTTCTTCGTAATGCAAGGCTAGTATAGTAATAAATCAAAAAATCTCACAAAGAGAAAATGTGTGTTATTGTCATCATCATGAAATCTACCCTGCCTATGAGTTAACTAAAATAATTTTAAAAAGATAATGTTTTGTAATCTTTTTGTTTGGTCGTCTGTGTTGCTTTTTGTGTGTGTGTATTACAGAACATTAGGAAACTGTGATAAAACAGAAGTGGAGAACCTCCTTTTGACTTGCAGAAGGGCACAGTTTCACTTTAGGTTGTGAATACAGCGCAGTAGGCACAAAATAGCAATCTTCCAACGAACTTCATAAAGAGTTTCCCTGCTAAGTATGAAAATAAAATTAATATCCTCAACTTAGGAGCCAACATTCATAAAAGACCTTGAGATGAAAATGTCTAAATCTGGTCACAGTTAATGTGATCAGTTTCTAGCACTGACAACCTGTGTAAAAGGAGAGCAGCTGTGCTTGTTGCTCTCTCCTCTATACATGACACCGCCTGACAGAAAGGGTCATTGCTGAAGCTGTCAAAATTTATAAATTGACACTCTGTTCTTAACTTCGATCAACAAAATGTTCAAAGATTGAAAACTACATGTCTACCTTGGCAACCAGGACAGCCAAATTAGAACACATTTTGATTAATTCCCTCAAGGTGACATAAAGGATCTGCACTCCTACAGAGACTTTTCAAAAACTACACAAAGAATGTAATTTTCAGCCATCCCCCAAATTCATATGTATAGATGAATCATATCTGAGGTCCACTGAAGACAAAGTATGTTAAAGTTCTGTTTCAGTGACTGGAGAATAAAATCTATCTTTACTGGGGAAAAAGCCCAAACTACCACAAAACACACCCCCCAATGATTTCACATTTCTCCGTATGAACAACCAAGAAAAGCAGAATATCCTGTTCATAATAAATTCCTTCAGGAAAAGACTTGTTAGTGTAGCAATGAGAGGCACTAAGTTCACTGTGAGTGGTTTCCAGAGAATGCTAAAATAACCTTGGAATTCTGGGTACCTATCAAGAAGAAGCTAGCCAGCCGAAGTCGGAACAACAATCTACATACCCCAGAATTTCAGCATAAATACTTATTGTATGTCTGTCTGTCTCCAATAAGATATTTTGTTCTCTTGTTTTGTATAGCAGCTTTCATACAAAACTGATATCCAGTGAAATAAACAGTGCTTTGAGAGTGACAAGTGGCACATTAACTACTGTGCCAATTTCACAGTTCTGCCAGCAAAAGTCTGACTGCAAAAATTAGATGTGAGCAACCATGGAAGAGGAGTATCAAAAAATTATGTGTGATAAAGACTTAAGACTGCATGAAGATACAAGACACTTGAGACAAAATTTTTGAAAGCTCTTCATGCTTTACTCCCAGTTCATTCAACAGAACGAAGGGCAAGAAAAATGTCAGTCTACAATCTTCCAAGCAATGAAATTATTCTTCACTGCTCAAATAGCAGGTTGATGCAATAAATTTCTTCCACCCAATAAACACATACTCAGCTGTTGTTGCTATGAAGTTATGGAGGTAACCTTCAAAATATTATTCTCAAGTAATGACAGAATTCATCTTTCCGCTCAGGAGCATTTGAAGAGCTCATGGGAAGAACAGATACCTTTTACCAACAGATACAAAATGTCCTTTGTATCCCTTAAGATCAATGGGAACTTCAGACATTCTTATGCTCAGCAATAACAGTGTAGGCTTATAATCTATTGCTGGTTTTAGAAATATCATGTACAAAGAGACAGACTATAGTACAGGCCAGAATCATCTTTCTCTTTGATGTAGTGGTGTTCTCAGCTAGAGCGTCACAGCATCTCATGCTGTGCACCTCAGTCGACAGGCATATAGCACCTTACTGAATTCAGCTGCCACCTCAGCTGAGTCCAACAAGATCTTTCTCATACAGCAGAAATTAAAACAACCTTTGCCAAGTTAATAAAATTAAACTTGTTAAAAGCTGAAATAAGTCACAGAATATTCGGATCCCCAAATACTGGGAAGAACCCACTATCCCTCTGTTGAATAGCAGATTTTAGAAAGTATAACAGTCACAGTGCTTGCTGTAAAGTAAATTTGATTATGTTCTAGCAATGCTGCCATAACTAGTAGATACTGTTAACAAGCAGTACCAGACCATTATTTTCATCTGTCAATGTCTTATGACTTATATATGTCTTTTAGCTCATTGTTGCTTTGTGGAATGAAACATTCAATGGACCTAAAACAAGGAGGTATGCATGGCTGGACTGTGCTAACAAATCATTAGCTACATAACCAGGAAAGCAAAGCTCAAAGGCGTTTGAAGAAAAACAGGATTTTACCAAGGGTTCCCAAAATTATGAGAGCAAAATGGTAGCATAAGCCTTGAAAGTGTAAGGACAAAATGAAATCGGAGACCTCAAGGCTATTAGCAAATGACCAATGGTTAATTAGTGTTAAAAAAATGTAAATCTCATCTCAATAAAAATATACCCTGGTGGATAATCCGGATGAACAGTTTGTCTGAGAATGGATAGTCCACAAAACAAAACAGTTTTCTAAGAAAATATACTCTGTTGGATAGTCCATCAAATTAAAGTGAATACTTCTGTGGAAAAACTGATTTACACTGTATAGAGATCAGATAATTAAACCATGTGGAGAAACATTGTAGCTGACCATAATTAACAGCATAGGCAGAGACATATCTAGATTCAGTATGTAACACTGTAACAAATGCCATTGAGTTGTACAAGTGCCTCTTTTTTTGACAACCAGATATGCAGAACTGAGAATTCTTGATATCTGGTACTGTACTGCCACATATGCTTATACTGTTTCTTTACCATTACAGGGAATTGGATCTTCGTTCCAGTTGAAGACATTGAGTGTTTAATTGCTCCATTTAATGGTCATTAAGGACTGTCTGCTAAATCTAAATGCAACACACTTTGGAGAGAAAGTAATAGAGAACAAAACACTGACCTGAGATAGCGAGCCCAGGTTATATAATATATTCAGCTTAGATAAAAAGATTTTGGGAAACCACAATGCATAGTTCTTGGATAAGGTATTTATCTTTGAGAATGAACTTGGTTATCCTCATCCAGGAACCACATTTATTGGGTACTATCATAGGAAAAATGTTACTTTTGTTTAAGAAAAATGTCCCTATAATGCTAGTGTAGACCACCTCAGAGAATGGAAGGCAGGCTACGTTTTTTTTAAATAATATCACTAATTTAATTTAATTTTATTTTCAGAATTTGTCAACAACCATTTAACAATGTAGTTAAAGAGCAGTGAGGGAACTGTGCCTTTGGGCCTTTTCACATTTTATTTTTTGTGTGGTTGTGTCGCCATGCATAATTTTACCATGATTGACTCAGGTAATTGTACTCAATCTGTCACCATTTTAACTAATTTTTTAATGTAATCTGGATACCTAGAACAGAAGTACATGTTAGAATTTCAAGAATACATAAGCTTGGCTAACTATTAAAGATCATGTGTGAGCCTTCATCTTATCTTCTTCACTTTCCTTTGTGCAAATCCTTCTTTTTTTATATATAAACATAGTTCTTAACTTATTTTTACATCTCTTTCTGAAGTCTCTCTTTGCTGAGCAATTCTAAAATACTTTTAGAAAGTCGTCTTTTTTTTTCCCCTGATGTATAACTGCAGACTGATAAGTGGAAGGAAAATTTCAAATTTCACAATGAAGTATTGTTTGAAAGGTTTACAGACTTGTTTTGAAGTCACACTCTTTTTGCAGTTAAAAAAAAAAAAAAACAAAACAAAAACAAAATAGGAAAATGCAGCTCATTTAATGTCCTCTGTCTGTAAAGGAAAGACCCGCAATTCAGTCTCCGGGTTAGTATACAGTGAAAGTGTTCATTCTTCTGTACAGGAACTGCTTAACCAAAAGAGACAAAAGGGATAAGATACAGTGAGAAACACATGGAGACAGAACTTCATCCATTCTTCTACTCCTTCAAAGACAGCAGGAAGTGTGAAGCGATTACATCGTCCTGACAGAAAAGCTGTATCTAAGTCAAATGATATGGTTCAAAATACAGACAAAGAAATACTGGATCATGCACCTGAACTGGTGTCCTGAGTTTTTCAAGTCATAAACATAAACATTTGTCTATACTGGACATACTTTTAACTGTAAGTATGATGTGGTCACCTAAAAGCTTTGGAGTCTTTGCTGTACTGCAAATCAAATCCCTTAGATTTTTTGAAATGCTGAATGGTTGATAAATAGATCCTGCTTCAAGATCACTCCAAAATCAGGCTAAATAAATAATGTTCTATAAACCCTATAAATGGAAGCTTTGTAGAATAGTTACCATTCATTTGAAGACAATCCATATCCACGGCATAAAAGAATAAGTTACATTTTATTAAGCTTGAGGACACATTTACTTATTCTAGATGTAAGTAAAAATCTGGTAATGAAAGAAATTCTCCCTCCTCCTTCCCAGTTTACAGCCAGCAGCATCAAACAGCTCTGGGTGTTAAACTAGCACATTAGCTAAACATTACAGAAGCAATGTGTCTGTGACCTCAGCTGTTTATAAGCCTTTCAAAATGCAGTTTAAACTAGCCAGAAATGTTATTTAGAGAAGAAAAAAAGTAAAATGCATGATGTTTTTAATTCAGAATATAATGTATACTTTTGAATTTTTAATAGTTTACACTGATGTCAAGGAGGAATCTTTCTGATAAACAACTGGTTTATGACAGGTCTTTTGCACACTGAAGCTGAAAATTCACATTCTTCTTAAGAAATTCTTAAATATGTACCTTGATATTCTTGAAATGCTACTCAGAAACTACCTTATCCTGCATATGCCTACTTTATCAAGTTTCATTTCACATGAATCT